GTCCTCAGTAATGCTGATTTGTTCCTCCAAAATATCAGCTCTATTGTTGAGGGAATCCATATTCTTCTTTATTTCATCCATTGTATTTTTCACCTCCAATATTTCTGATTGGTTCTTCTTTATACTTTCGGTCTCTTTTGTCAAGTAGCTCCTGAATTCGTTGAACTGTCTATCTGCACTTTTTTGTAACTTTTTGATGGCTTTTGATAGCTATTTTGAATTCTCTCTCATTTAGATTTTAGATTTCTGTGCCTTCAGGATTGATTTCTGGGTACTTGTCAGTTTCCTTCTGGTCTGGAGATTTAATATATTTTTTCATACTGCTATATGGCATGGATTTGTGCTTCCACATTTTGGTTGCATTTGATCACTGCTTGCACATGCCACCACTGTGTAGGTGTCAAGAGCTGTATGTTTTGAGCCCTCTGCAATCTATGGCGTAGCTTCCAGCTGCTGAACTGTGGTGCTAGGAGGTGGGGAGGGGCACTTTCTTTCTCCTGCACAATCTTGTGGGCTTCTCACTCTGCCCTCGCTATCTACTCTCCTGGGGTATTAGCTTGAGGAAGACATCCCTGCAATAGATAGTCACCTCTGTGTGGGGCTGTTCCCTGGGCTATGAGGGACCTTGGAGGGTGATAGTATTCCTGCAGAGGGCTGCTCCCTCCCCCATTTCTTCTCAGAGCTGCACACAGTCCCTGGGTTGCTGCCCTTCAGGAGGAAGAGAGTTCTCTTACCTCATTCCAAATCCTTGGGGGAGGGGGCTCCAGCACCTCCACCTTCTGACGTATGGCTGCATGGGTCTTTTAGACATCTTTTGTGTTGTGTGGCTGTCCTCTGTTGGAATATCAATGTCCCTTTCATCGTATCTTAGAAGTGAGAGTTTACAGAGAGAGCTCACTCTGCCATGATGCTGACATCACCTGTTTTATTATCCTTAATATATTTGGGATCTATAGTAGTGTCCTCTCTTCAATGCTCATGTTGATCATTTGTGTCATTTTTTGTCACCTTAGCTAGAGGCTTATTACTTTCATTGATCTTTTCATAGAATTAGGTTCTTGTTTCATTGACTTTTCTCTAGTGTTTGTTTTCTATTTCATTATTTTCTGGTCTTTATTATTATTTTTTCTTCTACTTACATTGAGTTTAATTTGATCTTTTACTTCTTTTTCTTTTTTTTTGGAGGAAGATTAGCTCTGAGCTAACTACTGCCAGTCCTCTTTTTTTTGCTGAGGAAGTCTGGCCCTGAGCTAACATCCATGCCCATCTTCCTCCACCTTATATGTGGGACGCCTACCACAGCATGGCGTGCCAAGCGATGCCATGTCCGCACCCGGGATCCAAACCAGCAAACCGCGGGCCGCCGAGGAGCAGAATGTGTGCAATTAACCGCTGCGCCACTTGGCCGGCCCAATCTTTTACTTCTTAAGTTGAACGTTTTGATGGTTGGTATTAGCCTGTTCTTCTCTTCTAATGTAAGAGTTTGAAGCTGTAATTATTCACAATATCCAAGACATGGAAGCAACCCAAGTGCCTATCGACTGATGATTGGATAAAGAAGATGTGGTATATACATATGATGGAATACTACTCAGCCATAAAAAAAGACAAAATCGCCCCATTCACAACCACATGGATGGACCTTGAGGGCATTATGTTAAGTGAAATAAGCCAGAAAAAGACAAACACCATATGATTTCACTCACATGTGGAATATAAACAAACTTATAGACAAAGAGAACAAATTAGTGGTTACTGGGGGAACGGGGATGGAGGGTGGGCACAAGGGGTGAAGGGGCATACTTATGCGGCATATGACAAATAATAATGTACAACTGAAATTTCACTATGTTATAAGCTACTATGACCACAATTTAGACAACAACAATTTGAAGCTGTGCAGTTTTCTTATAATGCTGTTTCAGGTGCATACACTAAGTTTGATGTGCTGTGTTTTCATTTTCATTCAATTTAAAATATTTTGTAATTTCCCTTGTGATTTGTGTCTTTGACCCTGTGGATTATTTAGAAGTTGTTTAAGTATTTGGAGCGCTCAACGATATCCACTGATATTGATTTCTAATTTAATTCTATTGGGGTCAAAAAACAAACTATGTGTGATTTCAGTCTTTTGAAATCTATTGAAACTTGTTTTGTGGCCCAGAATATATTCTTCCTTGGGAAATGGTCCATGTTCATTAAAAATAGTGTGTGTTCTGTGGTTGTCAGCTGTAATGTTCTATAAATGTCAATTAGGTTAAGGTAGTTGAAAGTGTCATTCAGATCTATATCCTTATTAATTACTTAGTTGCTCTCAGTTATTGAGAGAGATGTATTACACCTACAATTATGATTGTGAATTAGTTTCTCCCTTTACTTCTTTCAGTTTTTGCTTCATGTATTTTAAGGCTCCATTACTAGGCACAAATATTTATTAGGTACACATATTTATAATACTTATAGCTATTTGATATCTTTGCCTTTCTATCATCATGAAGTGTCCCTCTTTGTTTTTGGTGTTTATTTTTGTCCTGAAGTCTATTTTGTCTGCTATGCATTTAGCTACTCCTTACACTTTCTCATGCTTACTCTTTCTAACTTTTTAAAATTCAACCTATTTGTACCTTTATATTTAAAGTGCTTCTTGTAGGTGTCATACAGTTGATTCTTGCTTTTTTTTACCTATTCTGATAATAACTGTCTTAAAACTTTTTCATATTTTAAATTATGGTAAAATACACATAATGTATAATTTACTGTCTTAGCCATTTTCAAGTATACAGTTCAATGTGGCATTAAATACATTCACATTGTTGTGCTACCATCACCACCATCCATCCATAGAACTCTTTTCATCTTGCAAAACTGAAACTGTGTACCCATTAAACGATAACACCTCATTCCTCCTTTTCCCCAGCACCTGGCACCCACCATTTTTTTCTGTCTCTATGAATTTGACTAGGTAGCTCATATAATTGAAATCATACAGTATTTGTCCTTTTGTGACCAGCCTGTTTCACTTAGCATAATGTCCTCAATGTTTATCCATGTTGCAGCATGTGTCACCATATTCTTCCCTTTTAAGGCTGAATAATATTCCACTGTATGTATATACCACATTTTGTTTATCTGTTCATCTGTCAGTGGACATTTGCGTTGATTCCACCTTTTGGCTACTGTGAATAATGCTGTCATAAATATGAGTGTGCAAATATCTCTTCGAGAGCCAGCTTTCAATTCTTTTGATTGTAGACCCAGAAGTAAAATTGCTGAATCGTATGGTAATTCTATTTTTAAGTTTTTGAGGAAGCACCATACTGTTTTTCATAGTGGTTGAACCATTTTACATTGTCATCAACAGTGCACAAGAATTCCAATTTCTCCACATACTAATGAACACTTGTTCTTTTTTCTTTTTTCTTTTTTTCTTTTTTTCTTTTTTTTGATAGTTGTATTTGCTTCTAAGATTGGAATAAAGTAAAGCTCTGCATTCTCACCTTTTCTATTCAACATTATACAGGAAGTCCTGGACAGTACAATAAGGCAAGAAAAAGAAATAAAAGGCATGTAGAAAGGAAAAAGGAAAGCACTCATGATTCACATGCACCATTATGTATGTAGAAAATCCTAAGGAATCTACAGAAAAGCTATGCAAATTACTTAGTGAATTTATTAGCAAGGTCATGGGATACAAGATCAACAGATAAAACCAATAATATTTATTGGAACAATTGGAAATTTGAATTTAAATAAATACCATTTAAATAGCATAAAAACCATGAAATATTTGGAGATAAATTTAATAAAAATGAGTAAGACCTATACAATAAAAATACAAAACATTGCTGAGAGAAATTAAAGATGGCACAAATGGAGAAATATACCATGTTCATAAATCAGAAGATTCCATATGATTCAGATGTCAGTTTTCCCAGATTAATCTCTGAATTCAATTTAATTCCAATAAAAATCCCAGCAAGCTTTACGTAAAAATTAAAAGCTGTTTCTAAAATTCCCATGAAAATACAAAGGACCTAGAGTAAGTAAAAACAATTTTGAAAAAGAAAAACAAAACTTGAGGACTTAAACTATGTTATTAAAAAGTTGCAGTTATGAAGACAATGTGGTTTTTGTGTAAAGATAACTATATTGATCAATGAAACAGAATAGAGCCCAGAAATACACCCACCATAAACGGTCAACTGATTTTTGACAAAGCTGCCAAGGTAATTTGATGAGGGAAAGGATGGTCTTTTGAACAATGGCTAGAACACCTGGATATCCTTATGTAGAAAAGTAAACTGCAGTCCTTACCTCACATCATACACAAAAGTAAACTTGGAATTGATCATAGACCTAAACATAAAAGCAACAAGTATAACACTTCTAGAAGAAAACATAGGAGAAAATCCTTATGACCTTGGTTAAGCAAAAGTTTTTAGGACATAAAAAGCACAAATCATATATGTCATAGATAAATATGGCACATGTGTTATATAAATTACATTAATCATATGATATATAAATATATATAATAAACTGGATTTCATCAATACTTAAAACTTATGCTCTTTAAAAGACGCTTAAAACTAAAAGGCAAGCCACAGACTGGAAGGAAATATTCCCAGTACATATATCTGACAAAGGACTTATATTCAAAATATATAAAGAACTCTTACAACTCAATAATAAGAAGAAAAACAACCCAATATAAATGAGTAGAAGATTTAAATAGACATTTAACAAAAAAAGACATATAGCAGCTAGTAATGACCCTCAGCATCATCAGTCATCAGATAAATGCAAATTAAAAGTACAAATAGATGCCATCAGTCATCTAACCAAATGGCTAAAATTTAAAATACTGACAATACCAAATGTTAGTATGCATATAGAACAACTGGAACTCTCAGACGTTACTGGTGGGAATGTAAAATCATACAGCAACTTTGGAAAATAGGCTGTTTCTTATAAAGTTAAATGTACACTTACCATATAACCCTCAGCAATTTCACTCTTTGGTATTTATCCAAGAGAAAGGAAAAATATGTCCACGTGATGTACACAGATGTTCATAGTAGATTTATACATAATAGTCCAAAACTAGAAACAACTCTAATGCCCATCAATACACAAATGGAAAGAATAAGTTGTGGCATATTCATATTTGACTACTCAGCAGTAAAAAGGAGTGAACACTGATAAATGAAACGACATAGAAGAATCTCAGAAATGTTGTATTAAGTGAAAGAAGCCAGACTCCAAAGATTACCTACAATATGATTACATTAATATGAAACTCTAGAAAGGACAAATATCATCTCTGTTGATAGAAAGCTGACCAGTGTTTTCCTGGTACAAGGGTGAGATTCCCTGGGAAGGGGCAAAGGGAACTTACTGAGGTTCGATATCTTGATTATGGTGATGGTTACACAGGTTACACAGGTGCAAAAGAAGTGAGATGCAAATATGGAATGGGAAAGGTATCAAATAACCCTTTGGTGTTGAATTTGAATTGGAAGTATCAGTATGAAATCATGCTTTAAAAAATGTATTTCTTAGTTCTGTCCAATTAACCTAGAATTAATGACCGCTCAGTAGCAATGACTATATATTTTGTTTCTAAAACCATTCCCCACTAAAAGAAATCAGGATTCCTTGGAGAAATGAGTGATTTTAGATATGGGACAGGAAGACTACAAATTTAGCCTAGAACACCTTGTTGTGCTAGAAAGGAAGTATTTAAAAGCTAATGGAGGAATGTCAAAAGAACCCAGAAGCCACTTTGAATGGATGTCCACAGGCCAAATTTGGGCACCAAAAAGTATATTGATGGTAACTGGATTACACACTAAGTTCTTTTAAAAAGCCTGTGAGTCTATCATGATGCTGGGGAAAAAACAAAAAAAGAAGAGTGGGGAAGAAAGCCCTTTTTTGCAGAAAAATGCCAGGTAATGAATGTAAAAAGAATGAAAAATTAGGAAATGGGCATTTTGAAACCCCTAGTGTAATAATTGATTTGAGCAAGGATCATCAATAGATGTTAAAACCACTGGGTATAAATTTGGTCAGGAATGGGATATTCATATCCTCTCAAAGGTTACTTATTAATTATGAAGGAAAAAGGTATCTTTACAATAGGGAAATATGATGGATACCACTTTATTGAACTGATCAGAGCATTACTTATAATGGGACAAACTGACATTGTGTGCCTTTTGATGGAATGCAGTAAGAAGTATATTATGGATGTGGTATCATGGTCAAAAACCTTTAATCTGACTCTAATCATGAGGAAATCTGATTAAATTCAGAATGTAGAGAATTCTATGACATTTGACTTGGACTCTATCACTCTCATGAAAGACAAAAAAGAGAAAAATAAGGACAGAGGAGACTGTTTTAAAGGACATTGTAGAGACAGGGAAAATAAGTGCAACATGTGGAGCCTGGGTTAGATCCTGGAGTAAGGGTGGTGGGGACTAGAAAAAACATTTTTGAGACAATAGAGAAATTTGAATATAGACCTACATTAGATGGTGTTATTAAATCAATTAAATTTCTTTGGTCTGATCATAGTGTTATGATTATGTTCTTGTTCTTAGGAGATACTGAAGTATTATGGATGAAGTAATATGATGTTAGCAATTTACTTTCAAATCATTTAACCAAAAAAAAAAAGTGTGTCTGTGTGTGTGTGTGTGTGTGTGTGCAGAGAAGGAGGAGCAAAGCACCTAAACAGGGCAAGATGTTAATATTTGGGGAATAAAAGTGGGCAATCATGGTACTATCTTTCAACGTTTCTATAGGATTGAAATTTTTAAAAATAGCTGGGGTAAAAGAATGCTTCAGAAGAGTTTGTAAAAATACCATTGTAATAAGTGAAATAAGCAAGATTCCTGGGAGCTGTCATGTAGCAGGGCTATGGATGATTTTCTTTCTACTTATTTCTGTACTTTCTCAATTTTTAGTAATGAGGCTGTAATATTTTAGGAATTAGAAAATAAAATAGTATACTTAAATTTGAGTTTTTAAGTAGAAAAGAGTCCTTTGTTCCACTAAGTTTTTCAGATGAAAGTAATGAGATTTGTCCAATAACATAGTAATCTATATAATGAAAAGGATCATGTGAGTCATGGATGAGATAATAATAATGGTTATCAGTTATTGAGCACCTCCAATATGTCAAGTACTTCATATAATCAACTTATGTAATCATGATGACAATGCTGTAAGTAGGTGTTAATAATTGTCCAAACTCTTGCAACAGCTAAGTAACAGAATGAAATCTGAAACAAAGTCTGTCTTCGATTGCAAAGTCTATATTCTGATAGTCTCTGGTGGTAAAGAGAAATGTTATATAACTGAATTTCGGTTGGCTGAAATATGTGAAGTAAGCTGGGCAAAAAGATAAGTTGTTGGTAGGAGCCCCTGCCTGATTAGAAATGCAGACCTAGAGAGTAATTAGGACATACCTTTGAAGTGAAAAGTAAGAGCCCCCTCCCCTTCCCCCTACTCCGTGCTGTCTATACATTTCAGAACAGATTCTTAGTGTTAACATTCAGGGCTATCAAGTGAATCTGAATGATACTCAGGCAGTATAAATAGGAGAAAACTAATGCGTTATGCTGATTGCTATACAAGCATTACCAACTAATTCCTTATAAGAGCTTAATCTAGGGTCTCTTTTGAGAAAGAACAGTCAATATCCCCTCAGTGTTGCTCACAAGTCTATAAAAATCATAGTCTTCTACCCCGTGAGTGTGAAATCAGTAATGATCCCTAAGGGAATTAATAGATGGAAAACTCCTGCTTACTTTCAGTTAAATCCTGAAATTAGGTTAAAGCAAAGCAAAACAAAACAACAACAAACACTTGGTTTTAGCTGGTTGAATGTAAAAAGAAGGATGAGAAAGTAATTATTATTCCTTTACTACATAGCTTCTCCAAAGTTCAAGGGAGATATGAGTTGCTTAATAGTAGATACTAATTAAGTCAACTTTTTCTTTTGTTTTAATAATTCATTTTATAGATTAGTCATCGTAAAGTTTATCCCAGGTTGGCTTCCCTCTTTTTACCCAGCATGCTTCTCAGTTACCTCACCTCGCAGTAAATTCAGAGGACCCAAGGAATACGAAATTTTTGCACAGGCTTCCACAAAATAAGGTTCAGAAAGTAGGTTATAATGCTGCAAAAAAGTCAACATTATACATTTCTAACTAAAAGTTAAATTATTTTGATGTGTCTGTACCACAGTTCTCTCTTGACATAGAAAAGAAAGTGTTAATATTAAATAAATTGTTTTAATTAGAACTTAAATACTAGGCAAATACTTGTTTCTCAAAATATGTGTTGAGAACCAGAAACAAGACAATAATTCAACATGATAATATATCATACAAATAAACGATTTTGAATAAAATAAAATCTAACAAAAGGAAAGTGTGTTGATTAATTTAACAAAAGAACTGCTTTCATTTTAATTATAAACTCTTTATTATTTGACATTTACATACATAAAGTATATATTTAACTGGATATTTTATACACACTCTAAGAAAGTATTCCAAATGCAAAATTATGATTATACAGTAAAACAAACAAGATATATCAAGGAAGCATGTGATTCAGTGCCAAATTTACAATCATATATCGAATATGTCACAATCCTTTTATTCCAAAAAATGTTCACATGAGAACTCTAAAGTGGGCAATTACTTGCCAAAACAATAAATGATTTTCATTATGTAGAACCTGGAAAGGGACACAATGCAAAAATAAAGATTCTTCAGAATTTCTTTATGTAGTTGCTAGTAAGACAACAGAACCGAAGGCTATGAGGACCTGTCCAAGTAGAATATTTATATTAAATATGCCTTTATTGCTTGCCGGGTAGAGGTGATTTGTCAGCCACTTTTGGTAGAAGGATGGCCCACTATAGATACCAGGAAAGTTTTTTCGACCACAGCCATATCCAAAACTGGTAATTCCCATTACAAAAAATCGTTTGTGTTCTGGTAAGTAGCACATTAATGGTCCACCACTATCACCCTATTAAAAAAGTCCCAAAATAGAGTTAGTTACTTTTAGTAGTCTTTAAACAACAGTAAAGCTGGAATAAATGAATCACATTAAACATACATTTATACACATTTTCAGTATACCTCCAAGTTATAAAGATCCATAGATTTTCAGTTTTATAATCCAGCTCACACAGGAGGTATTCAGTCTGGTCTGGTATTTAGAGGAACCATATAGCTGGTGGGTAAACTTCCCATCTGCATAGTTGTGAACCAGAGTATCAGAAATCAAATAGTTTGGATTTTTTAGTAAAATTACTCAAGAGAAATATAATTTAGGAAGTATGCAAAACATTGTAAATACTGTTTATTAGAATACTTCTACTGCTTAAGGCTGTGTGTGAAAGGTATAACTTTAAGATACACGAGGGATTCTTTTAGGTGTGTGTGGTTTGCTAGCTAGAGGAGAGGAGTAAACTGGCATCTTGCAAGAGAAGGCATCTTTCTAAGTGTTGACAATGACTGGTGCAGGATAACCTGAATAAATGACTAAGCCTCTCAAATAGTATCACAAATAACAAATCTCTATCATATTTTATAAAACTGTCAATGCACTGAAACACTATTACTAAGGACTATTAATCACTCAAAACAACAAGGACACTGAGATAACCGTTTCAGTGCCTGGAGGTTAAGGACTGTGTTTCGAAGGTGTTTTCAGATTCTCTGCATTAGGTAAGCATTGAATAATTATTTTCTGACAATGAGAATGTTTCACTTATGAATGTAATTCAATTAGATTGGACTCTTCACTATTTTACTCAGCAAGATTCTTAAGGAAAAGGACACAGGAAAGATAAACCCTGGGTTGCAGGAATCAAAATGAGTAGGAAAAGATCAGAGCATGGAGTACTGCTTGGGAGGGAAGTGCTGGTAGATTTAGAGTTAGTAAAGAAAAGAGGAATAAAGAAAGATTCAAAACGCACAAGAGGCAAAACAAAAAAGAGATAAATTGGACTTCATAAAAAGTCAAAAACTTTTGTGCTATAAGCAATAGCATCAGGAAAGTGAAAAGATAGTCCACAGAATGGGAGAAAATACGTGCTAACCACAAGTCTGGTAAGAGACTTATATCTGGAATATATAAAGCATGCTTATGACTCAATAATAAAAATATGAATAACTCAATTTAAAAATGGGCAAAGGATCTGAATAGACTTTTCTCCACAGAAGATATACAAATGGCTAGTAAGCATATGCAAAGATGCTCAGCATCATTAGTCATTAGAGAAATGCAAATTAAAACTACAATGAGATACCACTTCACACCAACAACTTGGCAATAATCAAAAAGACAGACAATAATGGGGCCGGCCCGGTGGCGCAGCGGTTAAGTTCGCACGTTCCGCTTCTCGGCGGCCCGGGGTTCGCTGGTTCGGATCCCGGGTGTGGACATGGCACTGCTTGGCAGCCATGCTGTGGTAGGCGTCCCACGTATAAACTAGAGGAAGATGGGCACGGATGTTAGCTCAGAGCCAGGCTTCCTCAGCAAAAAGAGGAGGACTGGCAGTAGTTAGCTGAGGGCTAATCTTCCTCAAAAAAACAAACAAACAAACAAACAAAAAAGACAGACAATAACAAGTGCTGACAAGGATGCAGTGAAATTGGAACCCTCATACATTGCTGGTGAGAATGTAGATTCATATGAAATTTCCAGAATAGGCAACTCTATAGAGATTAGTGGTTGCCTTGGGCTGGGGGTGGGTAGGAAGAGAATGAGGAGTGACTTGTAATGGGTAGAGACTGCTTTTGGGGATGACAAAAGTGTTCTAAAGTTAGATTATGGTGACGGTTGTACTACTCTGTAAACACACTAAAAACCCATTGAGTTGTACACTTTAAATGGGTGAATTGTATCTATGTAATATATGTCAATAAAGATGGTAATGAATAAAAACAGAAAGAGATTCAAGGCAAATTTTGCCTAAGGTTGACCATGATTGTAGAAACAAAGGAATTAGGAAAGCAAGAGAATTTGGATTGTTGGAATAGTTAAAAAGGAGGAAAAAATAATTTAGTATTTTTAGTCTTATCAAGACTAAATTATCAATTAAGTCTTCACCAGGAAGTGACCAAAGGCCTTGTTCAAGGCCCCTTCCAGCTTTAGAAAATATTTCTCAGGAAAGTTATTTGGTCTTACCCTGCAAGTATCAAAAATTCCATCTTCATCACCTGCACAAAATGAAGTGTTGGGAATCATTTCTCCATAACTCTTAGCAGAATTACAAAAGTTTCGAGAAATAAAATGCACTTCTGCTTCCAGTAACATATTTGTAATATTACCTATTAACAAAAAAATACCAATAAATTATTTTGGAGAACAGGCATTTTGACAGTGATATAAGATGTTCATGTTGCAATGATTTTCTTTCCAAAGTGACTGATTCAACAATTATGTAAAATTATATCCATATATGTATGTATGTATGCCTAGGCAGATTGTGGAAGAATGTTCATCAAAATGTTAATTACAGTCCTCTCTAGATAGTAAGAATTTCAGGTTATTTTTATCTCTGCTTTCATATATTTCTTTAAGGTCTCACAAAAGGATCTATAGTTTTTATGAAATAAAGCTATATAAAATGGTCAAGGGCTAAACAGGTAAATGCCGAGGTCAATCTTTCTTATGTTGTAAGTGGTGAATAATTTTTATTAAATATTCTAATGGTGCTTAGTCTTGAAGGATGGTGGACATGAAAATAAAATTTTAAGATTGTAAATTCATGTACTTCTCTAACTTCTCTGGTAATTCCTAAACATAAAGTGGTTCTTTGCTATGGAAAAGATGGGAAAATACAAGACAACACTTCAGGAACCATTAAAAGATAGATCATTGTAAGATTTATCCATAGAAAACCTGCTGTACCATCAGGATCCGATTCCATCAGCTCATCTCAGAGTTGCAGTTGTCACATGTGGTAGGTGAATATTTTGTGTGCCCTGCATCCTTCCCCAGCTTTTCTAGTAATAGACATTGTCTTCTTGGCTGCAGGTGGGCAGATGACCCAACTGTTGCATTCACAGAATTCCATTCTCCTGGTGACACTGATTGGTCTAGGGGTAACTATATTTCGTATAAGTCTAACCAATTAGAATACTTCTCCAGAATTTTTTTGATCTAGAGCTGCCAAAGAAGAAACTTTTCACCCTAGTCACAATACTGTTTAGCTATAAGCCCAAAGCAGCCTGCAGCCATAGTTCCAGCCTTATGAGGACAGGCAGCCTGAGAAAATAAAGTCATCATGCAGAGAGAAGAGGAATAGGAAATAGAAATACATAAAATATGTCCTAATGGCATTCAGATTCCTGGATCAAGGTTTCCTAAAGGCCAACCACACTTCTGCTATGCATTTAAAAATAATTAATTTAAAGTAATACTTCCTGCATATGAAAGAAAATATGTAACATATAGAATATAATAATGAAATGAATACCTGGGAACATACCACCCAACTTATGAACCTGAACAATACTAATAGAAGTGTGATATTGGTGCAGGTCTATTCAAAATCACCAGAGACTTTCAAAGTGGATAGAAGAGAGAGAGAGCTCAGAAATAGAAGTTTGGGTTTTCTCTTCTGCTCCACTGGTCACTTAGAATATCCTTACACAGAGGTGACATCAGCATCATGGTGGAGTGAGCTGTTCCCATAGTCTCTCCCCGCTAAGATACAATGAAAAGAATATTCATTAGCCAACACATGACACCCACACAGCACAAGAAGGTGTCTGAGAGATCCATACAGTCATACATCTGAAGGTGGGTTACTGGATCCCCAGGAAGCAGTGGAAGGAGGTGAATGGATCTCCTCCTGCTCCCAGTGGCAGTGTTCTACGGCACAGGACCTCATGCATTGACCAGCACAACCCTAAGAGGAAATGGGGGAACAGGCAGGCCTCCACAGGAACACTTTTGCTTTTGGAATTGCATCCCAGCCCACAGGAATGCTCCACGCTGAGGCAGCTCAGCCACCACATGGGTGCCCCCACTAAGCCCAGCAGCCCAGGTGGGCAGCCAGGGAGTGCGGAGCAGGCTCATGTGTGTGAAACAAAGTGCTCTTCCCATCTCGCTTGGCACACCAGCTTGTCCAGGGCAGTGGATCTGCATCAGAATGCCTGTACCTGCATGGGTGACCCACCAAGCATTGATGGCAGACGAACCCTATCAGGCCAGCTTCCAGTGGACAGGTGCAACTTCCAGCAGCAAATTCAGAAAACCCAGCTCCTCCCCACCTCCCCACTGCCCCCACTGCAGTGGTGGCAGGTGGAATCTGCAACCTGATACTACCACTATGTGCCAGCAAAGGTCTACTTCATCAAACACCATGAAGAAATAAATTAACACTCCAGATCAGAAGGAAAATGACAGGTCTCCAGAAAGCAATCCTGAAGCCACAGAAATTTACAATCGAACTGACAAAGAATTCAAAATAGTTATAATAAAGAAAGTCAACAAGTTACAAGAAAATTCAGAAAGACAGTTCAGTGTAATCAGGAATAAAATTAATGAGCAGGAGGAATTCTTCACAATAGAGATTGAAAATCTAAAAAAAAAAAAAAAAACAACAGAAATGCTGGAGATGAAGAAGACCATAACAGATGAAAAAGCAATCTAGAAACCTTAAAAAACAGAGCTGACATTATGGAGGACATAATTAGTAATTTGGAGGACAGAAATATAGAAATGGTTCAGGTGGAGGAGGAAGGAGAACTAAGACTAAAAAAAATGAAGAAATTCTACAAGAAATATCCAACTCAATTAGGAAATGCAACATAAGGATTATGGGTATTGCAGAGGGAGAAGATGGGGAGTAAGGAGCAGAGAGTTTGTTCAAAGAAATAATAGTTGACAACTTCCCAAACCTGGGGAAAGAACTGGAATTACAAGTAAATGAAGCCAATAGAACTCTTAATTACATCAATGTAAAAAGACCTCCAAGGCATATATTTGTAAAACTGGCAAAGTCAATGACAAAGAAAAAATATTAAAGGCAGCAAGGCAGAAGAGAATAATCTACAAAAGCAACCCCTATCAGGTTTGCAGGAGATTTCTCAACAGAAACCTTACAGGCTAGGAGAGAGTGGAATGACATATTCAAAATACTGAAAGACAAAAAATTTCAGCCAAGAATACTCTATCCATTGAAACTATCCTTCAGATATGAGGGATAAATAAAAACTTTCCCATATAAAGAAAAGTTGAGGGAGTTCATCACCACAAGACACCTCCCTCACAAGAAATGATCAAGAATGCCCTCATAACTGAAACAAAAAGGAAAAGGTTTACAAAGCATTGAGCGAGGAGATAAATAGACAGACAAAATCAGAAAATTGCAGCTCTCTATCAGAACAGGTTAGGAAACAATTATAACATTAAAGATAAAGGGAAGGAAAGCATCAAAACCAACTATAAACACTTCATTTTAATCACAAACCCACAACACAAAATGGAATAAGCTGTGACAACACCTTAGATGGGGAAGAAGAAAGGGATGGAACCTGCTTAGGTTAATGGAGATAACAGGCTATCAGAAAACAGACTATTTCATCTATGAGATCTTTTATACAAACCTCATGGTGACCACTAAAGAAAAAAATCAGAACAGAGACACAAAATATAAATAAAGAGAAAACTGAGAAAACCACTATAGAAAATCAACAAACTGAAATGGCAGTCAGAAATACATGGGAAGAGAAACGAGAAATATAGAACAGCTGGAAAACAAGTGATAAAATGGCAGTATTAAGCCCTCATTTATCAATAATCACTCTAATGTAAATGGATTGAATTCTCCAATCAAAAGACAGAGTGGTTGGATGAATTAAAAAACAATACGCAACAATATGCTGCCTCCAGGAAACACATCTCAGCTCTAAAGGCAAACACAGACTCAGAGTGAAGAGATGGAATATGATACTCCAAGCAAATGGCAAACAAAAGAAAGCAGCTGTTGCCATACTTATATCAGACAAAGCAGACTTCAAGATAAAAAAGACAATGAGAGGCAAAGAGGGGTAGTATATAATGATAAAAGGGAGATTCCACCAAGAGGACATAACACTTACTAATATATATGCACCTAACATAGGAGCACCAAAGTACAGGAAGCAACTTTTTTATTTTTGAGGTGAGGAAGATTGGCCCTGAGCTAACATTAGTTGCCAATCTGCCTCTCTTTTTATTTTCTACCCAAAGCCCCAGTACCTGGTTGTATATCCTAGTTGTAAGTCCTTCTAGTTCTTCTATGTGGGATGCCACCACAGCATGGATTGACTAGCAGTACTAGGTCCGTGCTGGGATCAGAACTTGCAAAGTCTGGGCCACCAAAGCAGAGCACGCGAACATAATCACTACACCACTGGGTTGGCCCTGGAAGCAACTATTAACAGACCTAAATGGAGTAATTAACAGCAACACAATAATAGTAGGGGACCTCAACACTCCACTTACATCAATGGATATATCATTCAGACAGAAGATCAAGGAGCAGTGGAATTAAAGGAAAAACTAGACCAGGTGGACTAATAGATACATAGAAAACACTCCATCCCAAAACAGCAGAATACACATTCTTCTCAAATGTACATGGAACATTCTCAAAGATAGACTATATGTTGGGAAACAAGGCAAGCCTCAATAAATTTAAGAAGATTGAAATCGTATCAAGCATCTTTTCCAACCATAATGCTATGAAACTAGAAATCAACTATAAGAAAAAAGATGGGAAAATCACAAATATTTGGAGACTAAACAACACACTACTAAACACCCACTGGATCAATGAAGAAATCAAAGGAGAAATAAAAAAATATGTGGAGACAGACAAAAATAAATCATACCAACTCTTAGGGGATGCAGCGAAAGTAGTTATTAGAGGGAAATTCATAGCAATACAGGCCCACCTCAACAAACAAGAAAAATCTCAAATAAGTAATCTTAAACTAAACCTAACAGAACTAGAAAAAGAAAACAAACAAAGCCCAAAGTCACCAGAAGGAGGAAAACAATAAAAATTAGAGCAGAAATAAATGAAACAGAACCCTCCCACCTGGAAAATAAAAAAAGAGTAGGAAGGATCAATAAAACTAAGAGCTGGTTCTTTGAGAAGATAAACAAAATTGACAAACATTCAGCCAGACTCACTAAGAACAAAAGAGAGAAGGCTCAAATAAATAAAATTAGAAATGAAAGTCAAGAACTTACAATGGATACCATAGAAATACAAAGGATTATAAGAGAATACTATGGAAAACTATATGCCAACAAATTGGTTAACCGGGAA